TATTCTACTGTTCTCTGTCATGCAAATGTGTCTCTGAGTGAGAGTGAAGTCCCGCAGGTGCACCGTCAAAACTGAGAAGTCCGTTTTCCATGCTTGGATAGGGAGGACCTTTCTTAACACTCTGCGCACAACCATGGCACACTTTTGCTCTACCACCATCCACAGATGGGGCCTTTGAGACGTCTTCTCAAGCTGTCCTTAATTAGGCAAACAATTCATTCCCACTGAGTGTTTTATCCACTCTGTGTTTTCCAAGATGTAGCCTTGTCCAAGGGAACAATGGAGACAGCAGTATGGCTTTTTCAGATGTACAGGGTGCTTGGTTTGGTAGCAGGAGTACGAGGGTGAGAGGAATAAAATATTCAGCTAGACTCCAGAGAGAATCACTTGTTAATTACATTTATTAAGCAGAAAACCCTAAGATCAAAGAGATGGAAATCATTAGACCTAAATGTTAATAAATTTTAGATGAATCTCCCCAACTCTGGACAAAAAGATTATGTTCTGGACATGCAAATCCACTGGTGGTATTTCTTACATTTCACATTTGAAGGGAGTATTCAAGGCATCTCAAAGTCAAGAAGTCCAGGTATCTGAACTCATTCCCCTCTGCTGATGAATCAGTTTTGCCATGTGATCTTTAGACATGTTAGTATTCATCTCCCGAGCTCACAGGTAGAAATCTCAGGGTCCTGGTGGAGTCATCACCCCCATGCTCACACTTAACCAACCCTTGAACTCCGCCTACTCTCCTACAGGTACATCCTTGGACTCCAGACTCTTCTCTGTCTAAGCTAACCTAGGAACTCCATTACTCCACCTTTTTAAACAATTGAAGCTAACCTGGGAACTCCATTACTCCATCTTTTTCAACAATTCTCTCTTGTTTTTAAAGGAGCATCATCTTTTTAAAAATTTCCATCCTCTTTCAAAAATTTCACTCTCCTTTCTACAATATACCTAGCCCGTCAAGCCATGGAAAGCCATTCTAGTTTTAACACCTGCTGATCCATAATGGTAACCCTTTATAGCACCACCCAATAGAGCTTTTTACAATGGAAGTTCACATAAATGTTCTCTCTCTGCACTGTTCAACACAGGAGTGCAGTAGTTTGGGGGTTTGTTCCTGTAGATCTCATGTTGAAAGTTGATTCCAAAATTGGAGGTGGGGGCCTAATGGGAGAGGTCTGGCCATGGGGATGGAGTATAAATAGATAAATGCAGGTTAGTGGGGCAAGTGAGTTATTGCTTTATAAGCTTCCTCGAAAGCTGGTGGTAAAAAGGAGCCTGGCACCGTCCTTGCTCTCTGGCTTCTTCTCTCACCGTGTCTCTCACCGTGCTATTTCTGCACATACTGGGTCCCCTTCACCGCATGCCACGAATAGAAGCAGTCTGAGGCCCTCTCCAGATGCAAATGCTGGTGCCAAGCTTTTTGTACAGGCTGCACAATCATGAGCCAAATAAACCTCTTTTGTGTGTGTGTGTGTGTGTGTGTGTGTGTGTGTGTGTGTGTATGAATTACCAGCCTCAGGCATTCCTTTATAGTAAAGCAAAATGAACTAACACAAGGGAACAGCAGTCCTGCTTGACTATGTAAGCACTTCAGTGTGGCTAGTGTGACTGAAGAAGTAAATTTTAAATGTTATTTGGTTGTAGCTAATTTAAATTTAATTTTAAATAGCCACCCTGGCAAGTAGCTACTTAGGTCAGTTCTCTTGTCTCCCCCTTTCTGCTGCCTTCCCCTCCATCTCCCTCCCACACTGGTTCCAGGGTCACCCTCCTCCCCAAGGATGGGCTTTGCTCCTAGCTGGCCCCAGAGACTTGCCCCATGTGGCCGCCTTGGCATGACTGTCTGCAAGAACTAACCATATTGGATCAGGACCACAGGGGAAGAAAATCCAGTACAGAGAACTAGGGGGTAGATGGGATATTTGACAGTAAGAGGAAAGACATACCCCAGACCTGAAGCAGCTTGCGCAATGCTGTGAGATGCCATTACCTTCCTTCTGTGTGGGTTTATTTAGATATGAAGCTGACTTCATATACATAAATACACATACTCACAGGCAGAATATCAATTTAGTTCCTTTTTGTTGTTGCTGTTTTTATTTCTTTTTTTAAATGATCATAATACCATTTTGAAAACCTAATATGCCCAACTTTTATTCCAGAAGCATTGCGCTCAGGGCTGAATAGCAACTTCAAATCCAGATAGTCAGCTTCTGCCGGGGGAATTAGGGTTTATGTTCAGTATAATAAACGATCCAAAGATAAATATATTTCTTTCCTTTTCATTTTTTTTTTTTTTTTTTTTTTTTTGTAATCCAGGATGGTGGTGCATCCTCTTTCCAATACAGAAACACAAGAGTCTGGCTCTATTTAGTTTGTCTGATTGCTTTGAAGAGGGGGTCAGTTCGGCTCTGAAAAAACTATGGTCCTCTATTCATTAAAGTGTCGATAATACTCAGTCCAGGCATATCGACGGCGGATTAGCTTGGGTTGAGTCTGTGTACAAGACCAATGCCTTTTTTAACCCAGCTTGTTTCCAGATCAATACACCCATCAGCATTCGAAAATTAGCCCAAGATGAGATTCCAATATTTGAGGTGGTGTGTCATGCGAAGAGGGCACCCAGCCAAGTCACAGATGTAAACACCTAGCCGGGGATTAGACATTTTCCATTAGCCTGGACGTGAGTGAAGATTGATGTAGACTCCATCCTCTCACCCCCTCCCATCATCTCACCCCCACAAACACCCAGCCGTCTCTCTTGGAGCCCATATAAGATCGTCTGGCTCTAATTCTAGCCATTTGCTTGGATAAGCATTTATTAAATGTTCACTTTGTATAAGGCATTCTGGCAGGTGTTCAGGGCAGGGGTATGGGGGTGTGCATGAGTGGGGGGACTGAACAAAGAAAATGACAAAAATATGATCCTGTTTTCAAGGAGGCATTAGCACTTTTCACAATTCCTTCCATTTTCCAGTTCCATAAGGCCCTGCTTCCTAAAGCAAATGTCTCTAATAGTTCCTAGTTCCCAGTCTCTCATTGTCAATGCTAGGCATTCTTTTCTCAACACTAAGTGTGCAGGGGTCGGGGCAGGACAGGAGAAGGGTTGAGCAATGGCTTCCAGGCACCACCTGGTAGAGTATGCAGATGGTGGCACTGGGGCATTCACCAGCCCTCCCCACAGAGTGGAGATTCTCGAGAATTTCTGGTCTCCCTATCCACAATAAAAAATGTATTTTATATTAAAAAATGTACACAAACTGTAACAAAAATCTCACATGGCAATACCTACTCCACTGTTTGTATTACACCCTGATACCTTCTATGCAATTCTATTTTCTTTAAAAATGCTGTTTGCATGCATCAGTTCAAAAAGTATTCATTTATAGAATCACTTTTTAAAGAGCCATTATAATTTCCTCTGGGTAAGAAAGAGTAAGCAAAATATAATAAAAACTCGGCAGGACCAAACTTGGGCCACAGCGTGAGGTATTCCCATGTCCCCTGGCATACGCTCTGCCCAGAGCCATGTCCAGTATCGCCTGGTTCTCGCGTGTCCTCCTCTCAGTCTTGCTCACCCTGCCTCACTCAACAGTGCTGATCACGACCCAAGTTCCACCTTCCCCTACTGTCAAACAGCGGGCCTCCCCTTCCTTCTTCCAGCTCACTTCAGTTCTTCTTTCACAAGCCTCCTTCCTTCCTATTCTGTCTCTAACCAATCATCCCATAGCTCTTTACCCTTTTCTTGAACACACCGACAAGGGGACTGGAGGAAGGAGCCCCTAGGAGAGGAGTGTGTCGCCCTGGAGTTGCACGTCCCTGTGAAGGGGCCTCGGGATCAGCCTGGGAAAGGGCCCCAGCACTGGATCTGGCATGCCACTGCTCAGGGACTACACTGCTGACATCACAAAATAAGATATCTGGCCCACTGTAAAAGAGGCTAAAAAAATATAAAAATTACAAGAGTCCTAAAAAAGAAGAAAAGAAAAGAAAACTCAACAGCTGAAATAGCCCTTGTATGTGCCAGGTCCTCTTCTAAGTGTTTTCTATGTCAGTACATGTACCATTCAATCCTCACATTGACCCCCTTTACAGAAAGAGAACCTGAGACACAGTAATCACTTAAGGTCTCACAGCCAGAAAGTGGCCAAGTGTGATGCCAGCTCTTGCTCACTAACTAGGAATCCTTCAACCAGGTTAAGTGGTGTCTGAATGCCCCAGGACTGGTTCTGCCTGGGAATGAGGTGAGCTCCATTCCCAGGGTCTGAGAGAGTAGAACCAACACACATATTCTCTCTCTCTCTCTCTCTCTCTCTCACACACACACACACACACACACACACACACACACACACACACACAAGGCCTCATGAGCCAGGAGCCAGGGGAGGAGAAGAAGGCCAGGAGAGTTGGGATGGAATCAAATCAGGGAGAATCAGACACCAGTATTACAGGGGAGAAATGGCATCTAAAACCCCTGGCTGGGAGATGAGAGGAGGTGCAAGGGAGCCGGAAACAAGCAGGTATTTGTGAAGGACGCAGCTGAAGGCAGTGCCTAGTGCATCCTGGTTGGCTCTGCTTCCTTTCAAGGCTGAAGGGGGGCATAGCATACTTGTACTTTCAAAAGCGCATTAAAAGTCTGGTTTTAAACACAACACAATCTTGGAATTGCATGAAATTAAAAAAAAAACAACCCACTAAAACTTAGGGGAGAAAAAAGTCAAGAAAAGCAATAATTAAAAGATAATTTCCTGAGAAAATATATTATTGGAACAAAAATTAAAAAAAAAAACCATTCCTAGTTCAACTCAATGAAAATGATTGGAAAATTTTAGCTTCTAACTGCAAAATGACAACCGGAAATGTGCCCTGGACCCTAGATGCACAGAACAAGGAGAACTCATCTCTGCTGGGGATCAGAGAAAAAACTCTTACCTGAAGCCCCTCCAGGCTGGCCAGCCAGATCTCCCCACCAAGCCCCGCCGACCTACCTTGCACAATGAGGTGGACCCTAGAGGTCTTTGGGTGGTTGTCTGTCTGCACCGAGCAGGTGTACGGGCCCTCGTCATACACATCCACGTTCTGGATCTCGATGCTGTACTGCGTTTGGGTGTTGCTCAGGAGGACCACGCGCGGATCCAGGCACCACTTGTCATTCCCAGCATAGAGGATGGTGCTGCGGTTCAGCCAGGCCACCCGGGTGACCCGGTTGTCAATAGTGCACCTGAAGGGAAGACCAGACAGGTACGTCAAGGGACTGAGAGATGACAGCAGCCATCACAGGTGGGTCCTCGTGGCAAGGCTAGAATATCTTGTCTTTCTCCCTTCCCCCAACACATACATTTCCTTTGATTTGTCAGGGGTGGACTTTTCTGGAACACAGCAAAGGCCTTATGGGGTTATAGCCTCAGAATGCTGCTCAGTGCTTCTCAAACCACTTGAGCACAGAACCACTTCAAATACGATCTCAGTTATAGCCTAGAGGTATCTTGCATGCCCAGGATGGCTGAATACTTCGAATACTACCAGTTCTCCCTTTGCTCAAGGATTTGGGTGATGATAATCCTTCACATTTACGTCTAGGTGTTTAGGGTGCACTACAGCATTCAATACTTATGATAACCCTATGAAGAATATTTTATTGGAAAAAGCCTAGAAGAGCAGAGAAACTAAACTGAACTAGTTGTCCAAGTCACACAATAAATGTGTGTTAGACCAGAGACCCAGCTTTTAACGACTAAACATCATTCCTCTCATCTCAGAATAGCAAATTCCCACAGAAGGCTTCTGCAGTCAAAACTAAATACAGACCACCACTATCGCTATTCATCTTCATTATACCCAGGGGCAGAAATGTTCGGTTACTGCTAGACTAAAGCCACTTTCCAAAATCTCAAAACTGTCTGCACATATAAAAATAGATTTTCTTTCTTTTATTTTTGCATCTGGAGTCCTCGAATTGTGGAAGCTCCCTTCTCTTTTCTACACTTTTAAATTTCCCAGCAACTCTCGCCAAGTCCTCATCATGTCTCTCTGTCTGTATTCATTTCCCTCTCTTACTACAGCAAGTCTGTTCCATGGCCTTAGGCTAAATTTACAAACACAGTGTCCTGATCCTGACTACAATGCTGGAAATAACAATGCAGCATAGGGTGTATAATGATGCCTCAAATGTATACCTTATTTTGCAGTGTACAAAGCACTTTTACAGCTCAACGTCTCCTTTGATTTTTTGCAACAAATTTCTGAGGTTGACACTGTTACCCATTCTCTGCTTTAAAGATCATGACTCTAGGGTTCTGAATAGCTTGATGACTTGTCCAAGGAATCGAGGCTAAAAGCATAGAAGTCAGACCTCTCAGCCAAGTCCTCTAATTCCTGGTCCTGTGTGAGACTCATAAGGTGCAAAGGTAAATTTTTCATTGGGGATAGGTGATGGCTTCTATTGGATTCTCAAAATGGTTTGTGACCATAAAAACTCTAACAACTGCTATTGTACACACCTGCTTCTTCAGGAGACCCCTGTCCCCATGAGAAATCCTGTACTGTGCATCCTTTCTGCTTTGCTTATGTAAATGTCTCAACATTATGGAAGGATCACTTAGGTGTAGATGGATAGTTTGCTGAGAGCTCTTGTGGGAAATACTGCCCAAAAAGAAACACCTTGGCATAGGTGCTCGACAAGGTTTTTGCAGCTTATTGCATTTTCTGGCAATGCAGATGAGATGCGGGCTCTCGCTGGCACCATTCTGATACAGCTTGGAAATGAGTGAAGGCCTACCTTGCAGAAGGTCAGGGACTATCTCTCAAAGTGCACATGGACTACTTATATTAGAATCACAGGAGAGGTTTATTAGAGATTCTTAGTCTCACCCTCATTCTACTGATTCAGAAAATCTGGGAATTTATAACAACATCTCAGTTGGGTCATACACACACTAATGTTTCAAAACCACTAATACGGAGCAGTGTGTCTAGGACAACTTATACCATTTGTGGGGCCCAGTGCAAAATAACACAGGGTATTTTGTTCAAGCATGAATAAGGATTTCAAGGTGGTGATAACAGATTTCTATGGAAATAAACAAAGTTGTGAAGCCAGCTCCGCATGTTTCTCAAGCTTTACTGTGCACATGAGGCCCCCTGGGGATTTTGCTGAAGTGCAGATGCTGATCCAGCAGGTCTGAGGTAGGGTCTGGGAATCTGCACTTTTAGTAAGCTCCCAGGTGACGCCAGTGCTGATGGCCCCTGGTCATTCCTTAAGTCACATCTAGAAGTTCATATCTAGACATGAGCTTTATGCACATTAGGGTTTGAGAAGCACTGAGCTAGCACCACACGACACAAAAGTGTGGCTAGCAAACCAGCAATATCGGCATCATTTGGGTGGGAGCTCGTCCGAAATGCAGAATCTCAGGCCTCCTCTCAGAGATAACAAATTTGAATCTGCATTTTAATAAGATGTCCAGGTAACTTGAGTGCACATGAAGTTTGAACTGGTCAAGAGTATGCTCCAAGCCTTTCTTGTGGCTTTGATGAGAATATCCAGAATGGACTCTGAGGGTGAACAAGAAGGAGAAAAGTGCAGTCAATGGAGGGTGCACCTGATGTTGTACCTTCCTTCCCTTATGCTCCTTGCAGACCCCATGACTATCATCTGGTACTGCCTTGTCTGAAACATGAATTTGGAACGGCATAGGTTTGAAATCTCTCAAGAACAAAAACACACTTTGCAGCTTGCTTTGCTAGTAATGTATCTAGGATAGCTTATATTAATAACCTGAAGGGTGACCACTGCTCTGACCTTCACTTGGGTCCAAGCACGAAACTGGATGAATTCACATTCACGGTCAATGTTAATTGACTACATGAGCCCATTATACGCACTATTTTATCATCTCACAAACTTGGTTGGGTTCACTTATTGCCAGTTTACAGACAAAATTAGCTGAGGCTAAGAAACATTAGCCATATTGACTGAAACCATGCTGATATTAAACCGCAGAACCAGGATTCATGCCAGTTTTTGTTTTGTTTTGTTTTCCAAATTTAGTGTTCTTATAGGGCCTCCCAAAAGAACACCCGAATCAGTTCTTCTCAAATTCACCGTGCATCAGTATCGCCTGAAAGATCTGATTAAAAAGAGATTCCTGGGACCTTACTCCATGGGTTTCTGATTCAGTAGGCCCAGGCAGGGCCTGGGAGGCTGCATTTCTGACAAAATTCCAAGTGCTGCTGACGCTGGTCCGAAGTGCTCGCTGAGAACCTGTAACTTAGATGTGTGTGTCCTGGCAAAATGCGAGTTGCAGAGTGAACAGGCACTAGGAAAGCACCCTGGTATGAAACAGTTTTCCAACACTGTACAGGATAGAACTTTCCCGTATGTTCTGGGGAACCAGAAGCAAAGTCCTTTTTTTTCCTCCCCAGGAGCTGAAATCTGACAAGTACCAGGTGAGTGGAAACAGTGCAGGAAACGCTGACTGACAAACACTAAACCGCTTGAATAATTATTTTCGATGCCCACAACGGGGATCTCACAACCTCCCAATGAATACAAGAGGACTGTCCTGGGCTTCCTTGTGAGCATCTAATTATTGAAAATGGACAGAAATGGAAGGCGTCCCCCAACACTGCACCGCACTACAGGGGCGGAGAGGTTCCTCTGCAGATGCACCACCGCTCAGAACGCAGCCAATTTCCAGCATGGTTTTGCGGCCACTGTGATAGACTACTCTGAGAAGTTGGCACAGTTCCAGCTGCGGTTCTGAGCACATCCAAGGTCATGTTTAGATGTCCAAACTGTCACTGCTGGGTATCAGTCTTGCTGAATCCCCACGGAACGAATGCCGGCTTCTGCAGAGATGGATCACAAAGGTACCTCGGCGGCCAACTCTGTCGCCATCTCACACCTGCCCCCATCTATCTGTCTCATTTATCCAGTCTCCTCAACAATGCAGAGGACACATTGCTCCTAGGTTAAAAAAAGAAAAGTGAAAATGAGCCTAATTGCTCTCTCAGCCACAGAGAAGGCGCTGGAGGTGGGAAATTCAGACAAGAAGTTCTCTCTCTTCAGAGACAGCCCTCGACATAGTCCTTCTACAAAACTGCTCCTGAAACATGCTACAATATCTCACCTCTCTCAGGATGGTGGTTAACTTTGGTGATTAAGTCAGAGTGAGTAAGGTTTCAAACTCCACTGTCCCTGACTCATCCAGGTGAGCTGAGCTGGAGATGGCCGCTCATCAGATATTGAGGAATAGTCACAAGTCAATGCAATGTAGGCCAACAAGAGGTGGGAGATGGGTGATCAAAAGGGTGGGATGTTCTCAGACCAGACCTGCAAAGCCTCTCCCCTTTTGTCCACAGCCTCCAGATATACCGCCCTCCCACTGCTGGCATCCTCTCTGCCCATCCTGTCACGTATACGAAGAATAGAGGAACAAGCTTTGTGCCCCTGGGGATTCTGGACTGGGCCCTGCAACTCCAGCTCCCTTCTGTCCTCCAGCTTCAATGTTGCCCTCCAGTTGCCCCACCCTGCAGCCGTCTGGCAGTGGTCATTAGCCTTCTGTGTCTCTGTGAATGGTTTTCCCATCAGCACCCCTCCTGCGGCCCTCCCCTCCTGGGTGTGGCCCCCGTGGACAGCCCATGGCCTCGCATACTCAGCATCCTGGAAGAATCCAGACAAAGAGAAATAAAGGCTGGAAAGGGCATTTGTTTTCCATTTCAGTGCTAAGCCTCAGTCCCCTTCTTAGTCTGTGTGTGTCTGTCTACACCATGTTCCTTTTTGGATAAGTGTCTTTTTCTAGAGAATAGGCCTGTACTATTTGAGCAGGGATTACTGAGAGTGCCTCACCTGTGTCAATATTCAGGATGTATTTGGCCAAAAGAGGATCCAGCCACATGCGCACATGCTCACCCGTGCATGGAACTCAGAGTATGGAGAAAGAACTCTGCCATACCTGTAATTTTCTGCAGCTGCACCTATTGTTCCAATGCTCTAAAAATGCAACTCTCTGTGTCCTGAATGTCTTTCTGATGAATAGTTGTTTTATTACATATGCTGCATTTCTACATAGAGGAAAAGCAAAAATAAATGATTAAGCAAGCCCAAGATGTGCACTGCAGAAATGGAACCATAAAAGTATGGACTCAGGTCCTGAAGCTACTTTTGGATTTAGGATGAGAGAAGAGACAGAGAGAGATGGGGGTGGGGAAGACAGAGAG